CTTAGCCTGAGCCCACTTCAAAATTATAGAATCCCATATATGCTCACACGAAAGAGAAATGATGAGCTATTACAAATGAAAAATGTATGGATAGTGTAGATTTCAGACCCAGCTGAATCCAGGGCTAAATCAGGGCATCAACCCAGTCTCCTGACCCCATTTTCTTCTGTGTTGAGTCCATGCTTAGGCTGGTCTTGCTTCATGGTGGGATGATGGCACATTTCCCTTTTTCTCTACAATTCCAGTGAACAGGGAACTTCTTTCTCAAGTTCTAGCAAAAGTCCTGAGGTTGACTCTGATCTCATCTAACCTGCCCCTGCCTGAACCAATAATGTGGCCAAGTGGAGTGGACCTATGATTGGCTGGATCTTAGTCACAGACCTACCTTGGAGTACCACCCAACTGACCACAAGGGCCAAGGGTGGGTGAGTCCCCAAAGAAGAAGCAAAGTGCAGTGACCAGAAGGCAGATAGCAGGTGCTGGGTGGGCAAAAATAGCCAGCATCTTTGACAGTGGCCTCAAGTTAATGAATCAATCAATGTGGCATTAAGTGGGCAAATGGGTGCTGACGATATTGACTTCCAGTCTGATTCCCCCAAGTCCTCCTTCCTCCCTCATCCAACCAGGTGGCTCTAATCGTAAGAGTACAGGACCAAGCCCTGGGGTTCCCAAGGCAGTGCCAACAGCGTGGAGAGGTGTCTTCCTGTCTGTTGGCCCTTTTCTCCATGACAGAAGTTATCAGAAATCATCACTGATTTGAATATTTGAAGTTCCTCTGTACCTTCGACTTGCTCAAATATATAGTATGGCTTATTAATTTCCACAGATTCTTTCCAAAAGCTCTTTTCAAGAATGATGAGCACTCTCTGGTGCTGTCCACTGTCCTCTACCATAGGGACCTATAATCAAAATGCTCTGCTCCTCATCCTCCTTTCCGTGTCCTCCCTCTGTCTCCCTCCTCTCTCTCTCTCTTTCCTCTCTCCCTTCCCCTCTCCCTCCTCCTTACCTAGTTTCCTTTACATCTGAGCTTTCCAGATTTTGGTTGTGGGCAAACCAGATTTGTGATTTTGCCAAGTTCCCACACCACCTTTACAATAGCTATTTCATATTTCAATTCAGTTTACTCTTATTTTAGTTCAATAAACCCATGTGATTTATTTTATTTACCACACATGAAAAACCAGTATCGCTTGTCATGAATGAAAGGTAAATATAAAGATAAGCAGAATGAAAATTAAAAATGTTACAGAAGTAGAACAACAACAAAAAACAACTCTATTCAACAATGGTCAAGGGGCTTGGCTAGATATTTCTCCAATGAACAATGACAAGATGCTCAACATCACTGGTCTTCAGGGATCTGCAAACCAAAGCTACAATTAGATATCACCTCCCATCTGCTAGGATGATTACTACCAAAAAACCTTCAAAATAACAAGTATAGTGAGGGTGTGGAGAAATTGAAACTCTGATACACTGTTGGTGGGAATGTAAAATGGTGCAGCCTCTATGAAGAACAGAATAGGGCTTCTAAAAGAAATTAAAAATAGAATTATCATATGATTCAGCTATTCCACTTATGAGTATGTACCCAAAAGATTTAAGAGCAGAGTATCATAGAGCTAGTTACACAGTTAAGTTGATAGCAACATTCACACTAGCTAAAGTGTGGAAGCAACCCAAGTGCCCATCAATGGATGAATGGATAAATAAATGTGATCTATTCATACAATGGAATATTATTCAGCCCTAAAAGGGAGGGACATTCTGACACATCTATAGCATGGATGAACCTTTAAGACATTAGCTAAGTGAAATAAGCCAGACACAAAAAGACAAATACTAGGTGCAGTTTCAGTTGTACAAAATAAAAATAGGAAATGGATGGTGGTGATGGTTTAACATTATGAATGTATTTAAAACCACTGAACACTTAAAATGGTTAAGATGGTCAATTTTATGTTTCAGGTATTTTGCCACAATAAAATAAAATGGGGGACAGAGTTTAGCTAGATTCTGTGATCTGCCCAAGGCTCTAAGCCTGTGGCCTGTTCTCTCTTAGCACAAAAAGGGATTCTGTGGGAAACCGTTAAAGACACAGCTAGCCGAGGTGTCCTCCTGGGCACAGTCTGAAGGACTGGACAGGAGAGAAGGAAAGAACTTTGTCCCTGTGCTTGGGTGTTGGTGACTGTCATGGTGGGTGCCACCTCCAAGCATGGCACTCAGGTTGCTGTGAGGATGATGAAAAGTCTGCCTCCTCGGACAATCTCATGGACCATGTTCTCTTCCCTGTGGTTCCTGCTCTCAACTGGGTTAGAAGACTCTGAGGAAATGGATGGTGGTGATGGTTTAACAAGGCCAGCGCCATCTTGACTGTGCAGCCACCTGCCTCCCAGGCTAGTTCAGGGGGCGTCGGTGTTAGTTTGAGCTGCAGGAGGCAGTGGACACAGCGCGCAGCCTAACAGCGCTGACATCTCACGGTCTGAACACACCAGGAAATGTCTTCTAGCCACTTTCCCCTTTTAGCTGATGAGTGTATTTTCTCTTTTCCCAGCCATCCTCCAATCTAATACTATTTTATATGGTGTGTGATGGATATTTTAATTCCAAAGAAATCTATATAATAAAAGCTTAAGCGACAGTTGAAGCAGAACTACAAGAACGGCCATTCGCTATGATGCACACTGACGATCAGGGGGCAGATGCTCAGCAGGGGGAACGCCGCTCAGCCGGAAGCTGGGCTCATGGCTGGTGAGCACAGCACCAGAGGCGGGAACCTCTCTCACCTCTGCGGCTGCTCTAAGGAGCCACAAGCCAAGCAATAAGGAGCAGCAAGGAGCAAGGGGTCCTGGACTGGGAGAGGGTGTGGGCCAGGCTGAGGGACCTCTCAACCCCCAGTGCATGAATTTCGTGCACCCAGGCCTCTAGTAGATAATAACGAAGTGATCCAAATCCTAGCCCAGTGGAGCAGAAGTTACTCCTAGAAGAAACACTTTTGGGTTTTTCTGATTTTTAAGATGTGGAGCCCAGAAAATAAAGCAGAAGCCCCTACAGAGCCTGTCCTTGTGGGCGGCAAATGACCCTCAAAGAGGTGTCTATCCCTCTCCTCTCCTCGACTTGGACTCAAGGCCTGGAAGAATGGGAGGGGCCTGGGCAGGGGACTGAGCTGATGCTTGACTACTATTTTAGTTACAATGGCTCTGCAACAAGTCACCCAAAACGGAGTGGTCCAAAGGATCATTCATCATGCCCATGGGTTTGGTGGGTCGGAATTCAGACAGGGCACGGTTGGGGCAGCTAGTCTTCAGTTGGAAGCTTTGAAGTCTGGGGCCTCCAATCATCTGAGGCTCATTCATTTACATATTAGAGGTTGGCGCTGGCTGTTGGTGGGGAGACCTCAGTGTCTCTCCATGTAGGTTTCTCCTTTTCCAGGCGAATGCTCCACGTGGGGGCTTGTTTGAGCTTCCTTCCAGCATGGTGGCTGAATCCAGAGGACAAGCGTCCCAAGAGAGAGAGCCAGATGAAAATTGTAGCACCTTCTAAGACTTTCTCCCAGAAGTCATTCTTATCACTTTCGTTGCCCTGTTTTTTTTAGTTTTTTTTTTAAAGTGGATCATTCAGACTAAAGGGGATGGGGTGGTATTCAACAATTTATGGGAAGAATGACAAAGGATTTCAGACATGTTTTAAGTCAAAAATGGCCTGAGACATGACAAGCAACTGCAGTGCTCAGACCTGTTTTTCTTCCTCCCTGTGCCTGTGACTCCCTGCTGTGTCCTGGGCTCCCCGGGGGGCCCCCTCCAATCCAATCCAAGCATACAGGGTAGGCGGTGGCGAGAGGGAACTGCCCGGTGACATTGGGACCGCTGCCCCTCCTTATGGTCCTTCCCTCCGGTCAGGGGACGCTGCTAAGGAGGGGCTATAAGGGCTTCTTGGTGTCCTCAGGAGTCAGCATCCAGGGCCTAATCCATGGGAAGCATTCACTCATTCATTCATTCATTCATTCACTCATCCATTCATCCACAAATCTTTCGTGACTACTTTCTATGTGCCCAGGGACAGTCTCAGCCCAGATGGCCTTGGTAAAGAACAACATAGACCAGCCCTCCTGTTCGGGGCGTGCTTCATGCTGAAGACAGGTCCCGGGTAGGCTGGGAGAGCAGCCAGCATGCGGACTCGGAAGGAGGGGACCTGCCTCTCTCTGAAGCTGCCCCTCTGTGCGGGTCCTGGTCCAGGCTACCCCAGGACCAGGACCGCTAACCCTGCCTGGTTGACTTTGCTCCCGGCCCGTGCTCACACCCACTGGCTCCGAGCTCCTGGGAGAGGCAGGGAGACAAGCCAGTGCCCTGAGTCACGGGTGTAAAGTACGGCCAGGGCCTTGGCAGACGGGGAGGTGTCATTAGGTGAACAGCGAGAAGAGCCGCTTTCCCTTGGCCCCTGCGCTGAAAGAGAGCAGCCCTCTGCGCACCCTTTTATCAGGGGTGGGAGCTGCAGGTCCTGGGGCAGCAGAGCAGCGAGCAGAGGCAGTGTGAATGCGAGTGTGCCCCTGTCTGTGTGTGAGTGTGTGTGTTCGCGTGGCCTCCCAGCAGCTGTCCCGGCCCACACCCCACTGCACCCGCCTGCGTACCGCCCCCGCCCCTTGCCGTGCTGGGTGCGCTGCGGGGCTGCTGTGCTGGGCGCGTCCTCAGCGCCAGGAGACCCCCGGAGCGGAGCGCCGGGTTCAAAGGCCCCTTGCGCAGCTCCAGCCCTCTGGGGGGCGGGGAGGCGAGGGGGTGGTGCGGGAGCCAGAAAAGCCCGAGCCCACAGCGGCCGCCCTGCGCGGGGATGGGCAGCGTGCTCTGAAGTCTGTGACCGCTGCAGCCAGCTCCTGGAGGGAGCGGGACCCTGCAAGTGGGAGGCCCTCCTCCAACCCCACAGCTGGAGGGTGAGGCCCCGGAGCCCTTCGGGGGCCACAGGAGAGCGTCCTCCAGGCCCGGTGCTCCCGCGCCTGATCGGGGTTCATGGAGCTGGAGCTGTGGCTACTCTTCGGGCTCACAGTGACCTCCGCTGCAGGTAAAAGCGGGGCGGGCGGGGCGCCTCTCTGGCGCGGGCGCACACAAAAGGACGCTGGGGCTGGGGGCGCGGGGAAGGGTGCATGGCAGGGAGCAGCCTTTTGCCTGGGCTCGCCATCCCTGGAAGCTCCTGGGGGGAGGAGGTGGGCAGAAGCAGGAGCACAGACGACCCCAGGGGCTCTGGAGGTTGCATGCAGCCCATGCACAGACTGGAGACCAGCGGCCTGATTCACCTCCAACAGTTTTTCATTAAATTGGAACTTTTCAAAAAGTTTGCAACCCCTTCAGAAACTTTGCAAAAATGATCGCAAAGTTTTGAGAAAGCGTGCAAAATGCTTGTAAGTTTCCAGTGGGTGCAAATAGCTTGCAGACTTTGCAGAAAGTGAAAATGCTTGCAAGCTGGAGTGCATACATAGTTTGAGAACTTTTTGGAAACTGGGCACATAGTTTGCAAACTTTTCAGGACACTTGGCATTGCTCGGAGACTTTCTGGAAGTGCAGCTAGCTTGCAAGCTTTGCAGACAGTTTGGGGGGTCTTCCTCCGCCAGGATTTTGGAAGCAGAGGCAGAGGGGCATCCCACCCAGGAGCTCAGGGACCCCTCCGTCTGCCTCTTTCAGGATTGGGGACTGGCACCCAGCCTGCAGCCAGATCGGAGGGGGACATCGAGACTGTGGCCAGGACTGCAGCGCAGGGCCCAAGTCCCCGGAGCCCTGGGCCGGAGCAGGGACCAGGTGGGTTCGGGGAGCAGGTGGCCAAGGAGGGCCCCTTACGCCGCCGAGCCCGACGCTGCACGTGTTTCACCTACAAGGACAAGGAGTGTGTCTACTATTGCCACCTGGACATCATCTGGATCAATACCCCTGAGTGAGTGAGCGCTGGATGGCTGCATGCCGGGGTGGGGTGGGGGAGGCAAGGGGGGCTTCCTGTATCACGTGACAGCTTCCCATCCCAGAGGACCTGGTCCCATCACAGCGCCTTCAGCCCAGAGCCTGCCTGGCCCAGAGTTCAGCTCTTTTTATTTTTAAAATATATTTTATTGATTTTTTTATAGAGAGGAAGAGAGAGGGATAGAGAGTTAGAAACATCGAGGAGAGAGAATCATCGATTAGCTGCCTCTTGCACATCCCCTACTGAGGATGTGCCCGCAACCAAGGTACATGCCCTTGACCGGAATCGAACCTGGGACCTTTCAGTCCGCAGGCCGATGCTCTATCCACTGAGCCAAACCGGTTATGGCCAGAGTTCAGCTCTTGCTGGGTCTCCTGCCAGCCCAGTCCCATCTGTAGGTCAGGGTGGGACCCCATCCGCTGGGAGGGCCTGGCCCAGGAGAAACCCACCCCAGAGTGTCTGCCCCAGTGGAAGGGGAGCCCCTCCCAGTGACCGGAGCCAGCGGAGGGATTAGACACCTGAGAAGTCCCTCTGAGGCCGGAGGAGCCCCCATAGTATCTCCTGCCCCAGGGGCTGCTGGGCCACCCCCCCTCCTGACCCTGTCAGCTCGAAGGAGTTTCAAATTTCTTGAGAGCAGCCTGTCCTCAGGGAACAGGGAACTGGGGGTGGGTGGGTGGGGAGTGGGGAGCTGAGAGGTGATGTGGGGGGTTGGCAGGGCTGGCAGGGCCTGTGGAACCTGCTGTTCAGGGTGAGATTGCCCAGGCTCCGTTCATCTTGGGGGGGAGGGCAGAGGGGCCCTCCCACGGGCTGGCTCCTGTGGCCACTGCACCCACTGTGCAGACATCCTCCCACTCCCCTGCAGTCCTAAGGACTCTCTGGTGCTGGGTCTGCACTCCGTGAAGCTGGCCCTCGCCCAGGCCATGGCAGTGCTCTGCTGGAAGGCCTGCTGGCTTCCCCCCCACTCCCTCAGGGCAGAGGACTTGGTTTCCCCTGGGCCAGGCCCTCCCAGGGGATGCGGGTCACACCCTGACCTACAGACGGGACTGGGCTGGCAGGAGACCCAGCAAGAACGGAAGCTTCATCCTGCAAGAGAGGGCTGGGCCTGGCCCTCCTGGTCTCTTAAATCTGGTGCGTTTCACACCCTGCGAGGTCCCGGGTCTCTCAGGACTCAGCGCCCCGCTAGGGCTTCTTCTCGAGTAGCTGCTGTGAACAGGAGCCCTGGGCCTAAAGGCAGCTCTGTCCCGCCCCTCCCGGTTTCCTCCATCCCAAGCCAATGCACCTCTGAGCACCCAAGCGACACCTCAGGTAGGCGTACTGCCATCTTGCTCCGTGGACTCCGGAGAAAGAAGTACAGAGCAGGGTGAGCCCAGGGACCAGGCGGCTTCACAGCGAGCCCTCCCACACACCGGGATAGACATGGAAGCCCCCCTCCCCCCCCTCCCCCCATTATGCCAGAATGGCAGACAGGGCAGCTCACCCGGCAACTGGACTCAGGCACAGGTTCCGGGGTTGATGCTCCTTTGTTGTGGTCTTGAACTTCTTAATTCCTTCTGAACCAGAGGATCCATGCTTGCATTCCATCCTGGGCCCGGCAAATCACACAGCCCTTCCTGATGCTGAATGGGCTGCGTGTGCTCAGGCTCCTGCACACAGTCAGTCCGCAGCAGGGAGGAAGGCAGCGCCCTGTTAGCTTCTCTTTGAGGGGCTCCTAGACCAGGCTGCCATCGACTGCCTTCGCCCTCGGAGAGTGGTCGGGGTCACCTTTTCTTATAGCCCCATTGCCCTGACACTTGCCACGCTGGCATTGTGATCTGACCCAATGAGCGTCTCAGAACCCAGCACTCAGGGCGGTCAACCGCGGGGCTGAGTCTTGCCTTGGCAAGTATCCCAAGCTGTGGCTTCATCTAGACAGAGGAAGAAGGAGGCCCCTGAGTTAGGGGCAGCGGGCCTGGGGCAGAGGGGAGCAGGAGGCTGGAGGAGAGAATTCGGAGACCACCTGGGTCCTCTGCCCGTTCCCAAGCCCCCGCTGATTGCGGACATGCATTGGAGACTGGGCCACTCCTGCATCCATGGGAACCCTGGCCCTGCATTGCATGCTGAGGCGAAGCCTGGGTCTCTGACTTTCCCCAGGACCGCCGTGTGATTTACACCTTCCTCTCCCCTACCCCGGCCCGTTTTAGACACCAGGAGAGGGATTAAATACGATGTTTGGGCATCCCAGGAACTACTCGGGAAACAAAAATGACAATAGCCAGACTTGAGCAGTGTGAAGTTAGACAAGCAAAATTATTTTTATAAGGAAGATTTTCCCAGATGGTCTTTCTCTTTTCCTCCTTTCTTTCTTCCCTCCCTCCCTCCTTTATTCTTCCGTCCTTCCCACAATGATTCCTTGATATGTAGATGGTCCAACCAGAGATGGGAACCTTCTTCCTGCCAAGGGCCATATGGGTACTTATAACTATCACTCAGGGGCTGTACAAAATTATCAACTTAAAAATTAGCCTGCTCTGTTTGGCCAGACATTTAATTAACTCACCCCTAGTGCTCCAGCAAGGCCAGACCAAGTGACTTCCGGGGCCTTGTGCAGTCGGTGGTCCGGATACTACCCCTCTGCCTCAAATGACCTGATGAGCTGTAATGTGTGAAGACGGGCTGTAGGGATGGGGAACGTGGGTTTGGAGAAATGAATCGGAAAAGTTCCTCAGTCACACCGAAGGCACAACAGTGGCACAGGGAGGTCTTTCCCAGGCCCCTGTCCCCCCAGCCCCACGTCTCCCTCTCAGCGGCCACCCCTCTTCTTTATCAGACCCTCCAGGGTGTCGTTTCCTCCCTGTCCCGGCTTCTGGCTGCTCCGAGAGCCCAGAGCTTCTTGATCCTTATGCTTAAGTAAGAGTCCTGAACTTGGGGAGATTCTAAGCTCTGGCTGTCTTTGCTCTTACTGCTCATCCAGTCGGCAGCAGAGATGGATCAGCCATCTCCTTTATTTGGGAAGGATGTTTGCAGCGGTGCCGGCTGGCTGTGAGTGTGGTCCTCACGCCACAGTTAAGGACCTAAATGCCTACTTAGCAGGAGGATGCTGGGCTTTGTGTTGAGATCTATCTGCTCTGCATCTCGTGGGGACAGTTGATGTCCGTTTCAGCCCGAGAGACCTGCTACTCCCTGACTACCTTCTGGGTATAAAACCTGAGGTTCGCTGGCTCTCCCAGGTTTTCCCACACACTCAGCTCTTCCAGACCTCGCTGGGTCAGCCCTCTCCACAAGCGTGTGGCCCACACGAGAGCTCCGGCCAAGTCCTGCTGGTGCTCCCCTGGCTTTGCTGCCACTGAGTTTCTGGTGTGCACAGCTTTCTCCCAGAAATAAGGCTTCTTGCTCCAGGGGCATGGATGCTCCCCACACGCCCACATTTCCTTTCGGACCGGTGTGGGAGCAGGGACTTTCCCAGTGATGGTTCGCATAGCTTTCGTCGTATTCTTCAGAAGGCCCGTGGCCCCCAAAGAGGAGCCCAGGTTGTCCGGCATCTGCCCCTCTTGTCACTGCTAGAGGCAGCTGAAAGGGTCTGATTCTCATGACTTTCCTTGGCCACTCGCCCAGCTGGAGAGTGAAGCTTGCCCACCGAATGGCTGATGGAGCTTCAGGACACCCAGCAGGATCCACTGTGTCCCTCCCCACTTTGTTCCCAAGAATGGAGGGGACCTGTCATCTGTTAATTCCTCCGAGGACAACATGAGGGGAACATTGCGATGCTACAACAGTGACTAGGATTTTCAAAGCTCTGAGCCACATTGGCTAGCAAGTAGGAATGAACTTATAAAAAGAGCAGAGCAGGGTGTTAGAAGTCATGACTGTGCTGGACACCTGGGGATGCACAGACCCTCAGGGGAGACCCCAGCCCCCAGAGCTCTGACTCACACGTGGCCTGGGGGTGCTACCCTCTCATGGCAGGCCCTGGAGGTTGGGGGTTGCAGTGAGAGGGTAACTCACTGCAGATACCAGTTGAGCTGTAGGCTAGTGAACAGCATGGCCACCTCAGCTGCTCCTAAGCCTGCCATGCTCACTCAGCCCAACAGGAATGACCTTCGTCTGGAGGTCTTTTTCTCCCCAAAGAAGTAGAGTAAAAAAGAATAATCATAATAAGTAGCAATTCAACAGATTCACCTTTGCCCCCTGTGTCATCTAAGAAAAGTGTGTCAGCATGTTTCCAAGAAGGGACCTTCCAAATTGTAGGCCATCCCAGTGGAATGGAAGGACCTGGAACCCCAACCTCCTGCTGACGTAAGGTCAGCCGTGCACCCAGTGTGTGATTTCAGGGCCCCAGTAATAGTCACCCCACGGTGAGCCAGGACAGGATATTGTTGATGGAGATGCAGATGTGGAGGCAGAGGGACAGTGTTTCTGGCCGTCGTGATAATCACGGCAATGCAATGCAGATGGTGATGGCTGCAGCGTAGACGTTGACTGTGATGAGTACACGGAAAGACGAGTGAGGGTGGCACGAGAAAGGCCCTGGGACATGCTCAGACAGTGTCTGGAGTGTAGTGAGCACTCAGCATCTGGAAGATATGACTGTGAGATAACTACACAACGTCTGTGCCGAGTCCGGGGCCGGCTGCCGAATCACACTCTGGTTGGACGACGCCAGAGAGTAGAAAGTTCTTTCTCAAGTACCACAGAGGTTGGCCTCCTTGGACCATCCAACCATGGTCTTGCCCAGCCTCCTAGAGGGCTCGGTGGAGGCCTGTTAGCATCCTATTTGCATACGGAGCCTGGGAAAGGTGTGCCGGGCTGCCAAACTGATAAGCCGCTTGATAGGGATGCTGGTGGCCAAAGGTTGTTCCGGGGCGGCTCACTGAGATCTGGTCCCACCCTGTGTGTCCCTCCTTCCTTGTTTTCTGTTGCTTCCTGCTCACCTGGGGACACGTTGGAGTGTTTGTGGCAGGAGACCTGGTGTTTTCTGAAGCCACGGGCCTGGGTTGCCC